GTTATATAAATGAGTATTTGGAGACTAATTTTATTTAAAATCCCAATTTTGGAGAACCCAGACTGGCCTCCTCCTCCCAGTCGTTGTGAGAAGTAATTACCCTCCGCTCCCCAATAACGCTATTCCCATTTCTCCTTCTCCATAGGTCTTGGTCTTGATGCCAAGTTTGGGAAAGGCGCCAAGAAGACATCCCACTAGGGTGAGAGAGAGAGACTACCTCCACTGCAAGAAGTTACATTATTAGCGCAAGCAGCGACATGTCCTGGGGAAATGGACACAATAGGAATAAGGAACTGGGTTCCAGTCTGGTTTTTTGTTTTGTTTTGTTTTTTTAAAGGCAATGAAACCACATATTCTTAAAAAATCACTTGGATTTTAACAAGCCAGAGTGGGCAGTTTCTGTTCTTGATGACCTGGAGCCCAGTGCAGAGAAAGAAAGAAGGAGGAAACAGAATCCAGTGTTCATTGTCCAGACTGCTCCCTCGTGGGTGTTGGTCTGGTTGGGTGGTTGATTCCCTACGAGCCTCAGCAAAATAGGGAGGAGTTGTAATAGGTTGGATATTTGTACTGGTGCCTTTGTTCCCCCACCACAGTGAGAGTCTGAATGTGCCAGGACAGCCAGAGAGTGGGACAATCACTTTCTCCCTTACAGTTTTGGTAGACAATTATTTCCTTCGAAAGTATAGCCTCTCCACAAGAAGCGTCTTTTAAGGTTGAGGAAATATAAGCCCAGAACCTTCACATCTGCCTCCCCTTAGCTAAAACTCCCAGATGAGAGCTGAGGCCTACTGTGTATGTCATGAACAGCTTTGGAGGGTCTCGTTCCCTCCTTCTTTCTTTGAGTCTGTTCTCATTCCACCTGGCCCTCTCCTGGGGAGGCTGGATTAATCCTTTCTGGCCCCTGCCCCCTTCAGCTGCTAAAGCATGGCAGGCCTCTGCCATCCTGGCTGTGCCAAGGTGTCACTGCGCCAGCTCTGCCCGTCGAAAGGGATGCTGGTGGAAGGCATGGTGGCTGAGTCTGGGCACAGAGCCCCTGTCAAGTCTTCTAGTGGCAATGGGGGGAGAAGGCGGAGCATGGAGCAGGGCCACCTGCCTGCTGCTGCCTTCGGAATTGGAAATCGCAATCCTCCGAGGACCAAACTTTACACATGAAAGTGCATTTCCACCAGCTGCAACTTTCACTCCATCTGTTCAGCAGCCCCGGCCCTTGGCTCTCCAGATGGGAACCCAGCCTCCTTCCTGCTGGCTGCCTCGCCACCCTCCACCCAGCCTTTCAAACCTTGCCTCACTCGCACTCATCTCACTCTCTAGGGGCTGGGGGTCACTGCAACTCTACCCCCAAAGGTGCCCTCTTATTTTGAACTCCTTGAGAGAAAAGGTTGTAAGTACATCTGACTGAACTTCCTTTCTCCTCTTGTGTTTGTTTTTCTTCATCCTGAAGGTCGCATGGATTAGACTCTTCCCTGCTAGACTAGTGTAGCACTCCCAGACCGTCACTGTGGATTGGTTTGGTGGTCACAACACATTCCCAGGATCAGGGGCCTACAGGCAATTCCTGTCTGGACCTGTTTTTTGTTTTTTTGTTTGTTTGTTTGATTTTTACATTTTTATTTATTTATGCCTACAGAGCTGGGGTACAGGTCAGAGGGGCAGGGGCGGTGAGAGGATTCATCAGAGACAGTGGGGAGCAGAACAGGCAGATCAATGAAGTACACTGCTGAGGGGAGCAGCGGGCGGGTCAGGGGGGGTCTGCCAGACCCTGTGGGTCACCTCTGGGGGGGATTGAGCTTATGTTGCAGTGGCTTTAGCTTCTTAGTGCTGTGCTTTAACCTGCTACGCCCCCAGAAAGGGCCCCGGGCCTGTTCTAATGAGACATTTTCCCAGCTCAGAGCAATCCCCTCCACCTCTGCCCCTGCCTCTCCCAACTCGTTGTCTCAGACATGGCACCGAGAGCAGCACGGGACTTCCGCAGCCCTGCATGCCTCTGCCTAATGCTGGAGAAAGCGTGTAGCACGAGCCTGCCCTGGCAGCGGTGGCAGGGCCCAGGGCTAGGACACTCACTCGGTGCCCTGTCCGTTCATCCAACACGTACTTGCACTTGTGTGGCGGGTGCTGTGAACCTGGGCATTCACAGTTGAGCAGGACCAGTCTTTACCCTTGAGGGGGTTCCCAGTCTGATGGGGAGATGGGAAACAAACCCTTGCATCTCAGACAGTGCAGGCATAACAGAGGAAGGTGTCTGGGCAAGGTGAGGCTTGAATGAGGAGTGTGGGAAGATGAAAGGAGCAGGAAATGGAGCTTCAGCTCCACTGCTAAGTGAGAAATGGGGCTTTAAACCGCCCGGCTTCTCCCCATACTCCTGCCAGTGTTAAGTGTGAGTGTCGGGGCAGGCGGGTGGCTCTGCAGTGAGGCATCGTTCAGCTTCACTGGAAGATTCTGGAAAATGTGTCAGTTGCCAGCTTGTTCAGGGTGGCATCCTTACCAACAAGATCACAGGAACTGAGAGAGCCAAGTTCGACTAAAGTCAGCAACACTCTTGTTAGGGTATAATAGGGCTGATAAATGTGAAATACCAGACAAGTTCAAACGAAAGTACTGTTGATCGCTAACCCTGGGCGGCCTGATGCCTCAGGTTTCTGAAGATCAAAGTACTTTCATCTGCAGTTAATTCTCAGCTATGTGTAAAAGGGGGGGAACCAGCACATATTTTTCCAAACACCATGTTTTTAGTTCGGGTTGTATTGTACTTAACGTCTATTTTGGTCAAACCGTCAGGTTCATCTCTTGCTGTCTGTGCACAGCCTTGTGGTAAAATGGTTTTTCCACTTCCTGTACACTTCTTAGCTTAGGGCATGGGGAGTGACCCACAATGTGATTTTGGGGTAAAAACAGGGAAAACTGTACGGGAATTAAAATTTAAAAGAAATAGAAATCATACATGGTTTTTCAGAGGGTCTTAAGGGGGTTGGAATGAAACAGTCACTGGGTGATTTTTTTAAAAAATTATGCATACAGGAACTGGGGTGCAGGCCGGAGGTGGGGTTGGTGGTGAGAGGATTCACCAGAGACAGTGGGGAGCAGAACAAGCAGATTGATTGAAATACACCTACTGAGGGGGAGCAGTGAGTGGGACAGGAGAGGTCTGCTGCGCCATGAGGGTCAGCTCCCGGGCTGGGGATCGAACTCATGCTGCAGTGGCTGCAGAGAGCTTCATAGCGCTGCGCTTTAACCCATTGTGCTGCCAGGGAGGGCTCTTACTGGGTAATCTTTAAAAGGAGGTATTTGGAATAGAAACGTTTGTCACAGCCTTTTGACACCCTGTGAGGAAGCCCGAGCAGACACCTGCACTTTCAGTAGTGAGAAACAAGGTCGGAAAGGTTGGGAGACCTGCAGTGGATGCCTGAGTCAGTCCCTGGGTGGTTGACTAAAACTTCAGACTGCCGAGTCCTAGCCTTGTCTTGGACCTGTGCCCTCCGGGATAGAAGCAAAGCCCCTCAGGAGGTGCGTTCCCTCTGCCGTCCCTTCCCGTGCCTTCCCTTGTCAGCGGGACAGTGTGTTCTCTGAGTGGTGCTGGTCACTTCCCAGATGCCCTGGCAGGGAAATTGTCCTTGCTCCCTGCGGCACCATTCACCCTTCCCACTGAAAACACACCAGCTGTCTTCAGGAATAGCAAGCTCCTATTTATTTTAGCTCATTTCCCCAAGCTCTGTAGTTCACGACACTCTATCCTTTTGACACTCCTTGGGAGAGCGAGTCTCCCCGCCTTTGTGATAGGGCATCTGAAACCCACCAGAGTATATGAGCTGAAGGTCACAGGACTCCACACAAGGGCAGGGAGTGAAGCCAATGGTGCCTGGCGGTTTGGATTTCCCAGCCCAGTAGCATTCCCAAATAATAAGGGTGGTGGTGGGGGCATGTGGTGGAGGAGGCTGATAGAGACATGCGAGCTTTTTTCCCCCCAAGTAAGGACATTAAAACACGTCTAGTACCACTTTTATGGCTTAAAGGGGGCATTTAATGATTTTTTTGCCTTTTTTTCTCACTGCTTCCTTCCACTGCTGACAGGTTTTCTCTTTTATTGAGCCACCACACCTTAAAATGAAGCCTTGTTAACACCGAAACCATTCTAATGGGCTTTTGGTTTTGTTTTGCTTGTTATTTAGAGAAATGAAAGCAGGTGCAAATTCATTCTTTTTATTTGAAGTATTGTATGCATAAAGCATTTTTATGGCAAAAGGACATTTTAACTCTAAACATTTTAGGAAAAGCTATCCACCTCAGAACGAAGAGCCCCTCTTTCACACAAATGGTAAAGTTGGCAGTCACCATTAGCTACGACAATAATGTTTAATTGTAGAAGATGTTCAGCACAAATGTTCTCCCATAGTGATACTCGGAGGGCATATGCTTAGGACTGTCTGCTCCCTAAGACTTAGCTTTGGGGGCCCTGCTCCACAGCGAAGCCCACGGGAGCAGGAAGGTCTCGGAAGTATGCTGACAAAGCTGGAAGCAACGTTTTACATCATTTAGAACATTCTGGAGATTGTCTGAGAGCAACATAGCCCCAAGCTTGGGTCCCTTCTTATCTCTACAGGCCCCAGATGAGAATAACCCAGAGGCTTTCCAGTAAGGGCTGGGGGAGGAGACCCAGCACCCCTGCTCCAAGATCCACTCCCAGGGTGTCCAGGTCATGGCTTTGATCTCTCTGCTCAGGGCATCGAGAGTTTATTCTGGGAGGGTTTCCCATACTGATGAAAGCCAGCTTCTGACAGTCACAGTTCTCAGACTGGGAGCCAGTGAGCGATGCCTGCCACTGGCAAGAAGCTTGGGAAGGGGACCAAGAAGGTCTTGGATGAAGAGAAATTTCATTCAGTGCCACTGCTGTGGCGCGAGGCCCTGCGGCTGGCAAGTATTCTGTCTGAATGTGCCTGACTCCCCGTGGTTTCTGAGAAGAGGTGGGAGAGGGAAGAGGTTCAAGACATTTACCGAAGATTGAGGGATGGAGTGTCTCTTCCTGCCCACTTCTGTGTTTCGTGGCAGAGTGTGGGTGGTCACAGCTAGCAGAAGCTCTGTGCTTCAGCTTAGGTTTTGACTGGACACATTTCCTCCTACTCAAGACCCTGGAGCGGCCACATTCAAGCCACAGCCCTGAAGGGAAGGTGTCACTTGCATAGAAACTCAGAATGTCTTAGAATTTTACATATGTGTATGTCTACACAAGTGCTCCTGAATATGTCAAGCTGGTAGTTTCATTTTCTGTAAAAATGGGCCACAGTTCTCTTTCTACTCTTGAAGCTGTCCATACACAGGGTCTAGTGTCCTGGGCCTCATTAAACTAAAAGTGTTCCCCAAACGGGGAAGGAGAAGGTAGCACTTCCAGCTGCGCTTTGCTGGAGGGGTGTGAGGTGTGGTGATCCCCAATTTCACTTCTTGCCCTCCATAGATTTTATTTTTTAAGAGATTTATTTATTTATGCATCTAGAACTGGGTACAGGCCAGAGGTGCAGGGGCGGTGAGAAGATTCACCAGAGACCGGGTGGGAAGCATAACAGGCAGATGGCCGAAGTACACTGCTGAGGGGAGCAGCATGTGGGTCACCTCCAGGGTGGGGATCGAACTCATGCTGAAGTGGCTTTAGCTTCTCAGTGCTGTGCTTTTACCCACTGTGCCACCAGGGAGGGCCTGCCCTCCATGGACTTTATATAGGCGTATGAGATTCAGCAGATATACAGGCTATTGCACTAAATTTGAATTTCAGGTAAACAACACATAATTTTTTATATCCCATGTAATACTTGGAACATGTAATACTTGGAATATGCTTATACTAAGATTAATTCATGCAGTATTTGAGACATACCAAACAATTATGTGTTTATCTGAAATTCAAATTCAGCGGGTGCTATCTGGCACACTGTTTGGTGGCATAAGTCATTATTATGCATGTTCTCAAGCGTCCCTCCCTTCCTAGAAGAAAGAAGTCACTCTCAGATGCATCACGGCCTGCAGCTCCACACAGAGAGCTTCCAGGTCCTTTTGTTCAGGGTCAAATATTTCATTTCTCTGCGTCTAAGGGTGGTGCAAGTCCAGATATGGTCAGCAGGGGGCGCCATTTTCCTAAACTAGATCCCTAATTGGGTTTCAGGGGCCTCAGGAAAGGGAAGGGGATCTAAATTTCTATTTGTGCTTCTGTCTCCTCTCTGGAGCTCACTTGTCCCCACTCCACCACCCTGTCAGTTAACTCTCTGAAACAAGAATCTCATTCTCTCTCTTCACTCCTTAAGCCACTTCCAAAACTCCATGGTTACCTTCCTAATGAGGCATAAAAGCCCTTCAGGATTCTTCTGGACCCCACCCCCCATCCCCAACACACACACACTCCCACAAATATCTGCCGGTTCCCCT